GTAAAAAAATTTAGATAAAAGAGGCTTTAACTTAATTGACACAATTTTGGTTTTTTATAATTGGGGTCTATTTAAGTTACATTTAAACAATATCCTTCCAATACCACATCAACAACCCAATTGAACTTGAAGTTCTTATGTGATTTTTTCACACTTTAGGCTTACAGATTAAGAAAAAGTATTTAAGGATTTTTTATTTCAAGAAATCTATCAGGCAACTTTTCATTCAATTGAAATGCTTTTAAAATTTTTTAAACAAAAGACAACAAATATCATTTATTAATTGTTTTTTTTATTCGAAATTGAGTATAATTTACGTTGCATGAGCGATTATCTATTTTGAATTGTATAAATTGGGAATTGAATTGTACAATGAAATATAAAAGTTTTACGAAATTTTTTTGTTTCGTTGCTGTTTTTCCATCTGAGCCAGAAAAGTTGCATGTTAACAGTCAGATGCACCACTCATTCCCCTTCCTCGCCCCACTACAAGAAAAAACTTGAAAACCATCTGTGTTTAAGAGGCGCCTGGTACCTTTGATATTAGATTTTATCACCCAGTTTAGATTCGCAAAGCTTATAAAGAGTAAAATACGTACAGGCACATTCGACAGCAATTTGTTTTTCAATTGCAGAGAATGAGTAGGGATAGGGAGGGGGTCTCAGTGCAGCGGGCGACGAATTAATCACTCTGCGATCTAATTCATTCCAAAGGTTAGCAAACAGGGAAATGTAATCACTCAAGCTATGGTTTCAATGTATGCTTTTTGGAAAACTGAAGCACTCTTTCAATTGTAAAGTTAAAGCCCAAAAACAGCAGTCGTTCACTTGGAATAATGAGCAGTCTTTCAAGTGCAAAACTTGGGTTTAAAAGGCTTTGGTATACCAGGGCGGAAATCAATTTTAAACATATTTCATTTTTAGCGTTTAATTTTTTGCGTCGATGGCATAATAGGACCTTTGCAAATGATGAAGTGGTTGACAACACTTAAGCCCTTAAGTTATTGACTATAAAACTGCAAAGTTTTGACAACAATGAATAAGCGACATTTCACCGAAGAATTTACAGAAAAAAAAAAACGTTTTGGCTCCGAAATGACTTCTTACTTAAGCTGCTATTTTTGCTTTGGTCAAACACCCACACGATGTATCATTAAAACACATTTTGCAGTTTAAAAATGATTCACGTTTTTTGAAATGACTGTGAATATCATCAGAATTTTGCTGGTTCATTCATAAAACCTCGCTGATGTACAAACTGGTTTGAAATTGTATTTATAATTAAAATACTAACAATGCGAACAGTTGTAACCCGGTTAGTCTTTGTTTTCTGGATAGTAAGTCATTTTTATGCTTAAAAACGCAACAAACATGGTTCAGTTCTCAGTTGTGATACAGCTTAAGGTTGTGTTAACAATTAAGTATGAGTTTTTAGAGAGTTGTAAGTTTCTCGACTTCATTGTCCAAATTGACAGACTAGTCATTTTCAAAGCCCATAATTTTGTCCGCAAAAAATACTGATTTTTTGTTGAACAGATTAACACTATTCCGTCAAAACATTTTGAAAACAATAAAAAAAACAAATCTACTCTGAATAAAAAACACCAGGCGTTTATCTTCCTGTCGCGGGGTGCATCGAATAAAATCCGAATGTCATTATTCTCTCCGTCATTCATTACGAGGTTAAAATTTGCTCTGGATAGGCGCATATTTTTGTGTCTGTATTTTCCTGTGCTCCAGGGACAAATCTTGAAAAATGTTTCAAAAAGTAAGTGGGTTCCGTGTACAAACTCCTGTACAAAAACTTTGTCGGCACATATACTTTTTATGCGGATTTCGCAACAGGCGAATATAGTTAGTTGTTCGGGATTCTGCAACATGCATAGGTTTCCGCAAACTGTAAATAAGTTCAGCAAATGTTAGTGGAATCCGCAATTTCCTTTTTTTTACTGAGCTTGCATATGAAAAATTAAAAACAAGGCTGATTTAAAAAACAACGACCTAATCATTGTCATAAAGTCCACGAAAAAAAAGTTTTTGTAAAGATTGGTTAACTAAATTGGTGAATAATTACGTTTTGTAATGATCACCAGAAAACTTTCTCAATCGAGTTTCTTCAATTTTTTAGGACTATTGGAAACTCAATTCTTCTTTAAAAACGTTATTTCAATCAGTGTCTGTTTGGCAAATCATCATCATCAGTATTTGAGAAGAGATGGTTCAGAGGTTTGTTAGGGGAGAGGTTCTGTGAGTGGACATCTCCTCTTTCTTTGTGAATAAGTTGGTTCAGAGTGATTTAAAATCATTAGTACTGAAAATGAGATGGATCAAATTGTTACTGGGAGAGAAGCCTCGTGAGAGGTTTATTTGGGATAAAGGACGGATTGGTCGTCTTTTCTGAAAACTGACCATCTGAGATCAAATATCCTCTTTTTTCTTTTAATTCAAAAAGACAACTGAATCCAGCGGAACAAATAAAACAGCAAGAAAGTGATTCAATTTTTGCTTATGATCCCTGTTGAGCAGTTTATCAGTTTGAGCATCAAATTACAAAGAAAAAGTGAGTAAATTTGTTTTTTATTATAGACGAGCAATTTTGATCATTTTTTGGTTATTTTCTCTAACATGTCCTCTGTTAATTAGATTTCAATGGTTACTGCATCTTCGCTCTCAATTATTTCGAGACTCAACGGCGCTCCTCAGTTAGTTCACTGCTTGCAGGTAATCTGGTTAATACTGCTGTTTTTGCATTCTGGTTTTTTAATGAAATATTTCAGAGAAGACGATTGAGATAGAGAAGAACGAAAAAAATCGAGGTTTGAAAAATTGAGAGCATTTCTGTTCTTAAAAGGCCCAATGACTTGTCGTAAACAAATCATCATCAGTTTTTCAGTTAACAGTTTGAAAAAAGTTGATCAAGCCGTCCTTTATCCCCATTAAACCTCTCAGAAAACATCTCGTCCAATAATCATCTGATACAAAATTTGAAATACTGATGATTGAAAATCTTTCTAAAACCACTATAATTACTAATAAAGGAGAGATGTCAACTCACAGGACTTTTCCCCTAGTAAACCTCCGAAACACCTCATCTCAAATACTGATGATGTTTTTTGAACTCTGAGAGCCATTACAGGTTTTAAGATCAAAAGTGTTTACAAGTTTTCCAACCGCAAAAATCTACAATAAAAACGAGATAATGCCTGAGAGATTGGCTATGCAAGAAGATAATACCCTTCAATGCTTTTGCTTGTGTGAATCTTCAAATGACGATATAATTGATTTCTTTTCGAGTGTGAAGAGTCTACAAATTTGTGGAACAAGAACTTTCTATTCAAGAAGAGAGCTAATCGCAAACTCTCTCTGAAGATTATATCAAAAACCGAAAGTGCATACCAACAACCCAGTGGCGCTACTGAGTGTGGAGATATTGATGGCGGGGATCCAGTAACAAACGAAAACGAAACAGCTGAGGCGATAGAAGAGAATAGAAAGAAAAAACGATCAAATTACTCATTAAGGCCTAAAAACAAAACTCACATTTTTTACCTCCGTTTTTTGAAAAATTAATCAAATTGATCAAAAAATATTTTTGAAAAAATTTGGTACGTTTTTTGAGAATTTTGTCCACTAGTTTTTTTTTTAGATTTATGAAAAGAGCGTATTTCACAACAGTTGGTCAGTTTTCGACAAACACAAACAAACAAACCCGATAAACATCTCACAAGACGTCTCGCCCCATAAACCTCTTTTTCATCTGTTTGGAAAAATTGATGATTTTAAAATCTTTATGAATCCACTATAATCCCGATTATTGTTGAAGATGTTCATCTCACGGGATTTTGCCCGTATTAAACATCTGAAACATCTCATCTCAAATGCTGATGTCGATTTTTGAACCCTTAAAGGCATTGGGAATCTTCAATCCGGAAGTGCTTACAGTTCTTAAACCGCAATGTTCTTCACCAAACATGAAACATTGCCTGAGAGATCAGTTAAAGCTGTGTCCGAGAGAACGTTTCGGTGCTGCTATTCTCTTCGTTTTTCGTTTGATGAAATAGTTGGTTTCCTTTCGAGTCTGCAGTTCTAAACTCTTACTCCATTCGTTTTTCTGGATAAAGATACTCCGCTTGACTCTTTAAAAAATTCAGTGTATTCTTAAAAGTCAGACTTGCGATGTCAAACGGTTCTGGTACAAAATTGTGTAACGAGAAAATTAAGTTCAACAAGAAAGGTAAACGCAATTAGTCTACGTTTTTGAGAGTTTTCTAAACAGAAAAAACTATAAAAACTGCGCTCTTATACCGGGCAAAGCCCTAAATGTTCTGACTGCCCCCTTAGAGCTGAAAAAAATTAGTTATCTTCAAAAGTTTGAAAAAAGTAACTGAAAAAAGGAAAAAGGGCGTTTTTGTCTTTTTTATTGCCCTATACGCTTTATAAAAGCGATGTAATTAGTTTCGCATAGTTTATTATAAGTGTATTTTATAACGTATTGAAATGGTTGATTTTGACAATTTTTTGTTAAAATAACGCAACTTTTCGCGCGTTTATTATTCTAAACTGGCCAAATTAACGTTCATACCTACCCCATTACTTTGAACAAAACATTAACATGCTAAAAAAATTATATTTCAGATGAATAGAAGTTGTGCCGAAAAACTATTAAAATAAAAACTGGAGTATTGGCTGAATAAAAGAATCGCCTATAAATAAATTTTTCCTTCTTTTCCTTTGGAACACGGAACTATAAATCGAGTGGGACATCAGATTAATCGAAAACGTTACCAATGTATAACAAAATTATTCCTGAATAAGGACAAAATCTTTTTTCTAAAAGTTAGAATGCCTCAGGAAAAGGTCTGTTTTTTTTTATATTTCTCCTTCCGTTTGCAGTCAAATGCAATTTTTTTTTGGACATGGCTCAGTTTTTTTTTGTAACACATCATAAAATAAAAACATTGTTTTTGGCAAATTTAGTCTGTCTCATTGCTGAAAAAAATTAAAACATGCGTTGATTTGATATTCTGGTTGTTCATGGCTATTATATATTTTAGTGCTGTTTCTTAACCATTATCGAAAATTATTCACGTGTTTTAATATATGCTTAATAATTTGTACAAAGCTTGTTTGTTGGGACGAAATCTACCAACAACCACCATAAAACGATTACGCTATTGTTGTCGAAACAAATCCTGAGCAAAGATGACTGGTTTTCCATTCTTACCAATTTTCTGATTTTTTCCCTCAACAATCTGGAGTACTGATTGGAAAAGACTGTATTGATACAAAATGGGAATTATTTTTAAAGCTTTTAAAACTTGACTGACCAACAAATATACCACAAAAAAAATTTCAGCTCGCTTCTATTGTTATTAATTCTTAAATCTCTTGAATTTTCCTCGTTCTCGAATCATTTTTTTAAATAATAGTAAAAAAAACAACACGCGATAGAACAGGTCAATTATAAATTCTGAAATAAAGCAAAAATTATAAAAATTTGAACATCTAATATTGTTTTATAAATCAGTTGACTATTTCTTACGAGTATTATCATCCATGTCCGCGGCCCAGTCAACGCGTAGAGCACAGTCAGCCGGGGGGACTTCGTTGACCCTAATTTCGGCAATCAAAAAAGGTCACTTCCACGTCATACGGGACTTAGTGGACCGGGGCTGCAACGTGAACGAACGGGACCCGACCGAGAATCGAACCCCTCTCATGTTATGCGCAGTGGTTGAAGACGAAAAGTGGGCGCTATCAGTTGCCAGACTTCTAATCGAAAACGGTGCCAAAATCTGGCTAACCGACAAAACGGGTAAAAATGCGCTTATGACTGCTTGTTTGAACGAACGGCAGTCTTTGATCGAAGTTTTGTTGCAAAGTCTTGACTTCAACCTAAATGCGCAGGATAAGTTTGGGTGCACCGTGTTGCATCATTCGGGATTATGCGGAAACATCGAAATTTGTAAAATAATCCTAAATAGACTGCTAAGATACGATTTGCCGATTTTAGTTCCAAATAAGGAAAACAAAACGCCGGTTGATTGTGCTTTGGAGCTCGGTTACTTTGAATGTGCGGAACTAATTTCGGAAGATACCAAAATCCAAAAGCGAAATTGGGAATCGAAAAGACGCGAAATGGAGCGAAAACGCGCCGAAGATCGGGAAAAGTTTTTGAAACAGTTTCAAAAGATTTCAACTGCAAGTGTTATTGGTACAGCTGAACAAAATAACGAACATTTCATGAACAAAAATCCGGTTTTGGAAACGGTAAACGAAGGTGGAAGTACGAATGCTGTTGCGAGTTATGTTGATGCGGTCGAAATTCCAGTAATCGATCAGTCGGCTAATGGAACTGTGAACGAGGCTCAGTTCAAGCCAATGCTACGTCACGCGCTCGACCAATTAGTCGAACAGGACGAAGAGCCGAAATTGGATGACATCATTTATACTGACTACCCTGATAAAGTCGATTCGCCCAAAGGTGCTCAGAGTATCAGTCGACCGAAAACGTCAAATAGTCGAAAATACAGTCCTGGAAGGTTTGAAGCTAAACCTAAACTAAGCTCAACTCCTCGAATTAGATCCGCAAATAACCATCAGGTTAATTTGAATACTACTACTAGCATCAATAACCAAACTAGCATTTCGGTAACTTCGGTTTTGAAACAAACTCGCGACCGAGACATGACGGCAAAGCGACAGGAAATCCGACGAGCAGTGAGTGCTCTGCCGAACAGAAAACGAGTTCGCGAGTCTAAGATCAGTTTCCAGTCGCGCAAGTCGGGCGAGATCCTTCTGAACAGACCTCGGACTGCTCTAGGAACAAGTGTCATCCTGAACAAGGATCAAATTGTCTACACTTCCTTCGTCCGGCCACTTTTCGAGGTACTTATCATTTTCTTTTAGATAAAACTTCCCAAAATTGAACAGATAAAACAAAATTTGACAGTATGTCTGCTTTTAAAAAAAGGTTAGCATTGACAGTGAAAAACGCTAGCAAGTAGCTTGTTCAAAAAACATTTAGCATCGTTAATGAAAACTGGCATTTCCCGCATCCAGTTTCAAGCGTTAATAATAAATTATATTACGATTTTAGTACCAGTCTTACTAAAATTGAGAAACAATCGATTTTAATCAATTAATAATCGATTATAATCTCTCTTTTTAAAATCAAATTATAATTGATTATAATCCATTATAATCGATTATAATTGATTATTTATACGTCTATTTTTTGATACAATTATAATCAATTTTAATTGATTATAATCCATTATTTTTATTGGAACAAAAATTAGTTTTGCACAAAAATCCATTATAATCGATTATAATTGATTATAATCCCTTTTGTTTGTCCATTTTGTCTTTGAAGTTGCATCTCATTTGCTTATATTTTATGCTTTTTGCAGACGTTCGTTCCTATGAAAAATGAGAAAAAATGTTTTTAAAGTTTTCCAATCAATTCAAATTTAAAGGTTTTTTTCATTTCTTCCCCATTAGAGTTGTTTTGTTATGCATATTTTAAGCTTTTTTAACCACCAAAATATCAGTAAATTGATTTAGTCTCATGATTGGTTCGGAAATTTTATTTTTCATCAACCGCGTGATTCTTTCCACTAATATGAAAGAATCTCTATCAAACTTTTGTTTCGTGGTATAACTTTGTGTTCAGATGAACCAAAGTGTTCAAGAGATCTCTTTTCTAGAGATTTTTTTATTAAAAGAAAAATAATAACCCATAAGAAATAAGTCGAATATTGTTTTGAATTGGTAAAATTTTGGCAAAATAACAGATTATATTCAATTATAATCGATTATAATTGAATGTAAGGATTTTTTGTAAGAACTATAATCAATTATAATCGATTATAAGAGACTACAATCTCTTGGAAAAAATCACGATTATAATCAATTATAAATCCTTTGAACACCTAATTTTGGTAAATATAATCAACTATAAAGGTCAAAAAATCATCATAATAATCCGTTATAATCGATTACTTACGCCTAAACTTGGATGCGGATTATATTAAGGGCGGATCTCGGATTTTCTCAAGGAGGGGCAGATTTTCAAAAAACTTTCGGAAATTTCTCGACCTTTCTTTAAGCTCGACCAAATTGATTTTCCGAGCTGTCCTAAAGCCTTACAAAGACCCTATTTTGGTGAAGTTTTCTGCGCCACAGGCGAAACTTTAAAAACAGGCCAAAAAAGGCATTTTTAGGTATTTTTTGGAAAGTTTTGGCCAAAAAATTACGCTTTTTTGGCGAGCCAAGACGCCTTTAGAAAGTTTTAAGGGTCCGTCACCAAAGATGGATATCTCAAAATAGTACGATGGGGGACCCTTTGGGTCGGCATGGGGTCGAATCTCTGAGAAAGAGCGTCCTCCCTCCCCCCCCCCCCCCAAAAAAAAAAAAATTGCCCCGCCCTGCCAACATTGATTTTTTTTTGCAGTAATGCGCCAACAACCGCCGGCTTTTTTTGCTATTTTTCGTTTCTCGTCAATTTGATCAAAAATGCTCAATTTTAGCAGGCAATCTCTAAAATTGAGCAATTTTTTTTTCTAAATTAAAATATATAATGCGCCAAAAATGCTGAGGGAAAGGAAGAGCCCATTTTTGTTCAAAATTTTTCGAAGAGTGCTATAAAGTTTTTTTATCTAAATTGGCTAAATTTGTTCATTAAGAAATTCAGCAAAAACTCAAAAAATTTTCAAGCAGACGACAAAAAATTAGAAAAATTTCCAGTCGAAAAATTTCTGAATACCAAATGTTGCAAAATGAATAAGAGCCGTGGGTTTGTTGTCTTTTGAAACTGTGGTTAAAGACAACTTGAAACAAAACAAAACTTCCCGCAGTGGAACTTTATCGATAATAATAGTTTATAGTGGATAATTAGTGACAAAAATGTTGGACAAAAAAATTGATTATAGATGCCAGAGTTAAAATTAAATCCATTTTTAAAGGATTATGATCCATTTTTTTATAATAAAATAAAATATTATACCTGATTTATCTTCCATTATAATCCAATTTTATCTGAACATAAATCCAAAAAAAATTGATTAAAAAAAAACACCTTCTTTTTCAGCTTGGTGCAATTTTTTGCAAAACAATGACAAATCAAAGATAAATTTGAACTAAATATTAAACAACGTGAAACAAAAAAGCCAAATCAAATCACAAAATCAAGTGTTTTCTTCTGGCTGATTTTCTCTTGTTCCACTTATGTTTACCCCGCCACCCTGCACCAGTTTACAGTTTGTCCCCCCTTTTATCATTGAACGGGGGGTTACTAGGGTTACTCAACGTAAACTCCACCTCCTTACCCCTCATCCCCCTAATTTTTTTTTTAAACACCCTGTGGTACTGCAGCATCCGCAGTACGTAACCTTGAGGACAGTTTGCTAGCTACTGCATCTGCAGTAACCATATGTGCTAACTATATTTATTATGCTATTATTATGTAAGAGTGGTCAAGGCCATTTGGTGTTACTAAAACTTTATAGATGAGTTGGTCAGTGTTTCATATTTCAAGCTATTAAACAGTAACCAACCTCAGCTACTAAACCTTGTTAATAAGACAAGATCAAGAACAGTAAATTAACTGTATCTCTTCTTACTTTCATTCCACAACACGCTACGCAGTTTAGGAATATCACATGGCGCAGTCAGCAGGATTTCTGGCTCAGGATAATAGAACTGACATGGGAATTCCTGTTTTCTGGACCACAGCGAACTCTGATCCACCTTGGAAATTTAAAGTGTGGTTCGATCAGTTCCTGATGGCGGTAACTGTAAAAGAAAATGTCAACCCAGAAGTTATGCTGGAAGATCCTAAACCAGTGTTGGAGGAGCCGGAACCCCGTCCAGAAACACCCAGAGAGGGTGAATCCGCTGCTGCAACAGCAGCTAGAGAAGCACGGGACAGACTGTTAAAAGATCGAGTAGCAGCCGAGAATGAAGAGAGGAGAGAAAGAGGACCTAAATTGGGTCACTATATTTACTACAACGAAGTTCAAAAGCGACTAGTATCCAGGCTATTTCTTGCGTTTGGGACGGAAAGAAAGAAACGGTTTGTTCAAAAAAATCCACATGTTGAGATTTCTAAATTGGAATTTAAAGAGATGGCCAGATTAGCAAAGGAGACTTTTGATGCCAGAGTATCACCTATGAGCGTTATAAGTTATTTAATAGATCGCATGAAATGGGAGAATCGTTAGAGTCATTTCATGCCGCACTAACTGCTCAAGCAGCGAAATCGGCATTGGACACTTTAGAAGATGAGTTAGTCAGAGATCTCTTTATTTCTAAAATGCGAAGCCCAGCATTGCAGGACACACTCACGTTTGAGACATTACCTCCTGAAGAAGTGTTAAAACGTGCGATAAAATTCGAGCAGAGCAAACAATCGACACAGGCGTTTCAGAAGTCCACACTGGGTACTGCACAAACAATAACTCAACCAGGTTCTCAAATTAAAATCAAGCAGGAACCGATCCTGGCGGTGGGAAACAGGAATCAGAATAGTAGAAAACCTTATCGCGAAAGGAATAGACAGAAACAGCCGGAAGGAAGGGCGATATCGAATAAATATAACGCAGATGCTAGGAAACAATGCAATAGGTGTGGCAAACCATTTGTGGATAGTCATTTGAAAAATTGTGCGGCAATGGGAAAACAATGTAAGAACTGTAATAAACCAAACCACTTTGCTCGAATGTGTCGTTCGCAACAAGTCAGTGAAATAACCGAGAATACAGAGAGTTCGGAGGAAGAATGTATTTTGATTCAAACACTTGATTCGTGCGAAGAATTTGAGGTTATGGCAATTGAACAAAAAGACAATCAGATAGAGATGATAAATCGATACATCGAAGAGAAAGTAAGAGAGAACAGTGGCAGCAATGGAGTGAACTCGAAACGAAAAAGGTTGACATTCGGAAAGATTCAACATCGGGAAGGATGAAATCATTGAAAGCCCTAATCCGAATTGATAACCAAATAATAAAAATGACAGTGGACACCGGAAGCCCAATTTAATTTATAAATTGGACAATGGCGAAACAGATTTTAGACTCGTCAGGGAAATACAGTTCATCCCGGTCGAAAAATTGAACTTGCCAGCACAATTCGTGGACTATAATAAAAAACAAATAGCAATATTGGGTGCGGTGAAGGCAAAAATACGGTCCGCTGGCTGGGAAGTTCCGGATGCTACGTTTCTGATAACTGAACGAAGGACACGGTGTATCTTAGGTTTAGATTTACAAAATAAAGTGGGTATAACCACTACGCAAAGACCCGCTCCGAAGAAAAAATCCCGATTTGACATAATGCTGTGCGAACAGTCGGGGCCGTGGAAAGAAAAATTCTATGATGATTTCAAATCCCTGTTTGACAGAAAAGGACGATCAATACATCATGTAGTAAGTACAACGTTCAAGTACCCTCTCTGCCCGATTCAGGAAAAGGGGAGAAGAATACCCATCCATGTGCAAGGAAAAGTTGAGAAGGAAATCGAAAAATTACTACTAGAATGCCATATTCAAAGGTTAGACAAGTGTACTAGTGATTGTTTCATAGCCCCTATTGTCATCACAGTGAAGAAAGTTGATTCAATTAAATAGGCTCTGGATGCAAAGCCCATCAACAGACAATTGTACAAAAACAAGTATCAGATGCCGAATGTGGAGGAGCTATTAGACGGTGTCAGTCAGATAGTAACTGCACAAGCAGCAGGTACCTTGTTTTTCACTGTGTTAGATTTGAAATATGCGTATAGTCAGTTAAAATTGACACCGCAAACTGCAAGACAGTGTAATTTCAACATCGTAGGGGGGAAAGCTACGGGTACATATCGATTTTTGACGGGATTCTACGGGTTG